TGCTCATTAGTTAATTGAGGTCCTACTTGTTTAATGAATTTTGAATTGTCTATAAATTTATTAAAATGCAATGCTTTATCCTTTACAGAAAGCTGATTAAAGATTTCTTCCGTCACCAAGCAAGTAGTATTTGTGAATCTTTTCTGTGGCTGTTGTGGGATTATAGTTGTACTTGTATTATTGGTTATAAATTCTGTATGTGATGTTGGTGCTGAGACTTGTTGCACGAACTTATTTATGTTTTCCGTTGTTGTCTTCGTCTCTGGTGAAAGTTGATTATGTAGAGTAGTATATGGGGTTTCGTTTCCATTACGCCGAATGATTTGTACCATTTTTGCATTAAACATTTGCACTATTTGTTTAACTCTCGATCTTGACGACTTCTGTTGTGTAGAGCTTTTATTTAATTTATCTGCATTATTAGTTTCATATCTTCTTCTTAGCTCTTTTATATTTAAACGAACTACTGATTGGCGCCTATTAAGTTTTGTCGATTTTTTTCTTAGCGAAACTTGTACGGTTTTACATCTAAATTTCGCAATGAGAGTAGCTACTTTATCGGTTATTGTAGTATTGGCAGTTGTAGTTGTATTAGGGTTGAATAGCAACTCTTCATCGAAATATTCCAAAAGATTGTTTAAACTTTCAGTTGTGTTCAATGTGCATTCCTTTGAACTACTTGTATCCGAGGTGGATATAAATTCATTATCATCATCATTATCGTCATCGATTTCTTCACATTTCTTTGCAGCTTCCAGGGTTATGGGTATTGATTCACGTTTTTCAGTGCGCAGACGTTTCTTGTTATCGATTGCCTCAGAAGAATTAATGTACATACTGAAATCGGCGCTATTAAAAGATGACATATTGGCGACTAATTCAGAGTAAGACAATTCTTCAGTAGTTTTCATTGTAGAATTTAAAAACATGTTATTAATTTTTAATATTCGTAGTAATTGCAGTTGTAAAATGCTTCGAAAATTTTTAACTTTTGCTATAAGCGTTATGCTCTTGATAAGCTCAGACTCAAACTGTTGACTTCACAGCAGAATATCAAGATTTTTATATACATTTCACAGGTAGGAATTTAGTGATATCTTCAAAGTCGCTAATTGGTCTATTTCTTGCAAATAAACAGTTAGCTTAGGATGTAGAATAGGTAATGGCAGCTGTTCAGGTAGTAACGGTAGCAACCCATTGTGTTCCTAATGATCATTGTTTAGCGGAAATTTTTGATTTTTTGAATTAATTCAAATAATTTCGCTCATGGTCAATTGTTTAAGAAAATATTCCAATTCTTATCTTCTAAGAATTAATTAGTCGTTTAATATTAATTACAGGAAATAGATGCAGGTTGTAAATTCTGAATGATATTCTGAAAGCCTAAGGTTTTTCACTTTATTGTAGTCAAAAGAATTATATATATTAAATAATTGATTGAAAATATTCATTGAATTTTGACAAAACTTAATTTTGAAAATAAATTTTACAATAATGAACACATTGATTTTGTGTAATAATACAAATATTTAATAAATGAAATATATGAAATGTTTAAAATTTTATTATTAATATATGTACCATATACTTTACTGTTAATGGGCTTAAGGTTACTTATATTAGATATAAAGTACATAATTTTTAAATTATAAAACAATATAAGAAAACTATAATATATTTATATAAAAAGAGAATAAATTAAAAAATCAAATATCAAAATATAAATTAGAATAGAGCGTTGTTTTTAATACCTTTTAGTATGAGTATTTAATTATATGCTAATGTGACATAATAGTATATGCAACCTACTACATAAGCTAATAATTAAATTTATATCTAATCATATCAGTATCATGACTAAAACATATATCGGCTTCATGGATATCGTTTCCAAATAGGCGTAGTCCTAAGTTTTAAAGTTCTAAAAAAATCCGCTGGATTTTGGGCTTAAAGTTTAGCAAAACTATTATTAAACTAATCTGGATATAATACAGCTACAGAGTATTGCCGAGAATTTGAACATTGTGTTGGTGTTTGTCAATCACTCTACAACACCTACATGTGGTTCTTTGAATGTAACAAATAATAAATTCCATCCTCTAACAGATTTTTTAGATTATAGACGAAATAAGAAGGGTAAGTTGCAGGTACACTAATGGATGCGAAGTTCCTACTTTACACTAGGCAAGTTTTTCTTGCCTGGGTTCTAATAGATGATACAAGTAAATGAGATAATATTTTAAATTTACCTTATAGAAATTAAACAAGAATTATTTTTTTTCTTTTAAGACTTGTAATTTTAGGAGTAAGTATAAAAAAATAATTAAGGTAGATTATGATAAGTTCTTAAATGGTAGTTATAAAATAAATATTATATTAGATTATTATATTAAAATGCTAGAGTCTTAATAAATGTGTAGAAAATAGGATCGATATTATTAAGTTTTTTTATATCTGTAGAATTCTAGATGAGAATTCTAGATAAGTAATTTGTAAGAAGAGATCCGATTTTTTCACGAAACGTTCTATTTTGCCAGGTTTAAATTTACTTCATGCTAGTCAAATTTGTTGTTTTTCTCAAATTTTTTTTATAAAGAGAGGAATACTACTACTAGTTCTCTTGTCAGTCGAAAAGAGGAGGGATAACACAATCCGAATATAATTTCTATTTTCATTTGTGAATTCAGGCGGAAACAAAACTTCGGATCCTCAATAATATATATGAATAAGAATATGAATAAGTAATTACGTTATTACGTTTATTGTTTTTCATAGAAGTTGTTTCAGCCCAACGGAATTTTTATTCAACAATGTCATTCTTATATTATAATTGTTTTCTAGTGCAATTAGGTAGACCTTTATAGTTATGTTGACCGCTGATTGACATACAAAAATACATAATATATAAATAATTTAACATTCCTGTCAATAAAGAACCGCAATAAGGTATATACCAACTTTTAGCTTGTTTTTAAGTATTTGTGGTATGGATGGTTTCGCTATATTACCTTGGCAGAAGGTTTAAACCTTCCGAACAACCAAATTATACTGCCTGAGTACATTTTCTAGATACAACGTCAAATATCGCCATGTATCGCCTAAAAGATTCTTGATGGAAGAATTTTTAAATTAATGAAAGATATTAGAATTCAATATAAAGCAAAATTAAGAATATTGAACTTATATTGCAGCTGAGATGGCTTAGAATGCTTCCAAACACCGATAGACTAAACCAACTGCGTGGAATGGAGGCAGATAGCGCAATGCTCAAAATCATAAATTCTGTAAAATTTTTATATTTTTAAACAATTTAATTTCCTCTTTAATTAAAATTTATTTCTTACTTTTAAATTATTACAATTATAATAGTCTTATATAATATTTAGCATAATTAAGTAGTTTGATTGAAGTTAAATTAAACATTATTATTTTCCTTAACAATATTTTCGAGGAAAGTTAGGTTTTTAACATCATTGAATATTTGATCCAATGGCTCGCTTTTTAAGCTAAACATATCTGGACTGAACATGCTAGCATCACTGTAACGTAGAAAGTTCATAGAAAGTCGGTTCCCGAAAGATAATGTTGGCATATTGCTATTTCCAAACTTCTCCGATTCGAATTCTGGGCGGTAAAGATCACTTATTCTTGGATTCTTTAAATTTGTAGAAGATCTTCTGCAATTTGGCCATGCAAACTTACTGCGTCCTTCTAGTCCGTTGCTGTTGCCTGCTTGTAGACCCACTAACATATCATAATCCACAGAGAATCTTAGTCCACTTGGTCGATAGTATTGTGATACGGAGAACTCGATATCATCTACACCAAATCGTATTGACGATGTATTTGTATAAGATTTCCTTAGAAATGTAAATAAGTGCGCTACTTCATCAGTTGATCTTTGTTTGCCAGTGAACATTATAATAAGATCTCCACAAGAAAACCAATAACTACTGTGTCCATGGATTTTATTAATTTTTGGCAAGCGTTCTTGTTTTGTGGGTGAATCCAGAATTGAAAACTTATGTTCATCGATACCAAATTCTGTAGGATAGCGCATTTTCTGTGTGAAGCTATTAAATGCACAACGTAGGTCAGCAGCTGGCTTATAACATATGTCATAGGAAACTTTGAGATCATCTACCGTTATCCAAAATCTAGACTTAGTATTATATTCGAGGTTATTCGATGGTATGTTGGCGAAGGAGTTTGCACTGGGGCGTCCACTAAAGTTATCTTGCTTAGATGGTATCTCTTTGGCGTTGTCTAATGGATGATGCTCTTGTATGATTTGCTTGTATACTGAGCTGCGCCGTGAGTCATTGTCATAAAAGAAACGTCGGCGTGATTTTGTTGATATTGGTGTTGGACTACTGCGTGATTCAATTATATTGGTTTCGTTTGGTGAACTAGCGTGATATTGCGCCAAGTTTTCTTTGTTGATATTATATATCTTTCGGTCCGGCCTACTTTTGAATGCCTTTCCTCTTTTGTAATATTCAATATTCAAGTTTTCTTTCCCCGAGGTTAAAATACGATTCATTTTCTTCTTTCGTGGTGCTGGTTTAATCGGAATAGCAAATTTGAAGTCCTCAGATGAATTTGGAATATTTTTATTGGGGTGCTCTGCCTCGTCATTTGTTGCTTGTGATTGTGATGCGCATTCACTAGAACTACGTGCTTCATCTGATACATCTGTTGAAGGAGCAGCACGATTCAGTCTCTTCTTGCGTGGTGGTGGTTTGATTGGAACAGCGTATTTGAAATCTTCAGACGGATTTGATATAATCTGTTTTGGTTCGTC